GGGGGGTGAGCAGTTGCACTGTGCATCACTTATTTTGTATATTATTTTATCATTATTATTATTATTTTCCCTTCCTTTTCTGTCCTATTAAGCTGTCTTTACCTCAACTGACAAATTTTACTTTTTTTTTTTCTTGCCAATTCTCTCCCCCATCCCACTTTGGGGCGCGGGGAGTGAGCGAACAGCTGTGTGGTGTTTAGCTGCCTGCCGGGTTAAACCACAACAATATGTATACATACATACAAATACTTTTACAGTTACTTTTACTAATATCTATCATCTAACAATGGTCGTATTAATGGCTATTAAATCTGTTTTCTTAAATTCATATAATTGTCTTCAGGTTACAATTTATTTTTTTTTCTAATTTTGTGTATGGATTAATATCAGTAATGTAACAGGTATCTCCAAGTCCGGCGCGATAACAGGAGAAAGGTTAGAGGAAAGAGGAAAACCCCACACAATAGATATATTTTGTTAATGATTATTTACTGTAATATATGTAAACTCCGTTCCCTGATACCCTCTAGACATCTATTGCCCTGTTGAGCTCTTAATGTCAGCTCATGCTGACCCTCAACCTTATCCTCCCTGAGCTTCATCTATACTCCATTTTCCATCACCTGTCTACTACTGCTCTAGAGATTTCCCTGCTTACTGCCTAAGAGTGCTTAGTTTATTTAATTGACCTAAACCCCCACACCTCCTATATTAACTCTATCCCTGCCGAAACCAGGACAGAAATGCAGGTAATTCCCTCATTCCCTTAGTCTCTGGGTTCCCATGTCATGGGACCCCAGCTCCTAATTGCTGCCTGTTCATGTGTATATATATGGGCACTCATGTCCTTTTTTTCTGGCAGCTTTGAGGGAGAAAACAGGGATAGAAGGTCCTGCTGCTGTCTGTCTCCCACACTGCTGCAGCTGCTTCAACAGCAGCTCTCCAGTAGATATTTTTGAGGCCTTCTGTCAGTATAAGATAAAGAATTTTTTATCATCTCTCAATTTCATAGCATCATGTTTCTTTTCACAAAATTTACAATAGCATCTTCTTTCTCTGGATTAATTTAATGTGCAGGCTGCTTAGCACCTGGGAGTACCTATTTAAATTCAGTGTGGGCTGAGGTCCTGGGGCATGGCGTAGCAAGAAAACTGCAATTCTCAGGAATTATTTTGAGATAAAGCAAGAAAAGAGTTGCTATATCCACCTCTACTTTTATTCCTCAGAGATGGTGGAGGCTTTAAAAATTAATCTTTTAAATGTAAATTTATTAGGCACATGGAGTCACAATTTTGAGTTGCTTTAGTGTTGTGACAGAACAAGGTCTATTGGGAGTTAATGGACTTATTGCCCTAAAATATACCCTGAAAATACTACTCTCATAAATTTTGGACAAGAACTTCTATTTTTTTCTCCTCTATACAGTGTAAGATAGTTTATGATTTTCTTCACTCTTAAAAGGAACATAAGTAAGTTCTTCAACCTTGTAAGAGGAAATAAAACTGAGTGTTTAAGTGTTTGTACTCAACATTTAGTAGTTAATGGAAAACAGAAATACCTTTCTGGCTGGCAGAATCTGCTTTGCCTGGGCCGTCGGAGCTGCGGTGGGTGCTGTGCAGACTGCTATTCCAGTTGTGCTGTTGCCATTTTGTGTCTTGCACCCTCTAATTTGCAAAAGGGGCTGGAAGCCATAACATTGTTTTGAAGTGGCTGCGATGGTTTCTCACCCCCGTGCAAGTATTTAAAAGTCGTTATGACCATGTGTGAGAGAACTACGTATGCGCTCCGGCAGCGTGAGTGGGAAGCGCGAGGGATTTTTAGCACAGTTCTGATTAAATCAGTTTAGCTGCAGCGGGGGCAGAAGTTAAGACGCGGTGCTTCAGATGTTTGCCCTTCTGTGAACTGTGACATCTGGTCAGCTGCAAAACCTCTGCGGTCTTGCCATGCTTGCCAGAGAACTGCCGTGGGTACCCACCTCATACTGAAAAGATTCCCCTTACACCTTTGTCCTATATTCAAGAACATGAGCGGTTATGCTGGCCACAGTTCTAGTCCATTGACCCGTAGATAGGAATCGTCAGTTTGCCCTGTAAAGATGCTGGCAAGCTTTTTGAGCTGGAAATCTCTGAGTCTGTTTAACTTCCTGGATTCCATCTTATTTTGGCCCTAATCCATGCTCTGTTTTCAAGTTAAGCATTTCTATTTATAATGCTTACGGAAAAGCAGGATTTGTTTCTTGCATCAAAAGCATTCAGAACAAAACCTCTACTTTTTTATATTTTTTTTTCTCTCCTGTGACTCACCAAGGAGGTTTGATGTTCCACTTATTCAGAATTGCAGAAAACAAAATTAGAGGCAACTGGATTTATAATGGGATTGAGCCTTTCCCCTGGGGGGTCTGGATCGGCTACGTGCCTGCTGGAAGGGCTGGTTTTCGGGCAGTTGTTAACAACTGTGGCTACACTGTTATACCCATTTAAACCATTATAGCTGGCACTCTCTGCAGAGATAAGGCTCCTGCAGTTTAACCGTGTGCTTTCCCTCCTACCTCTGATGCTGTGCTTCAGCTGAAATGCTATCTGCCTCCAAGCATGTGTACAGAAAGAGGCATATTTTGTTTTAAAAGTCAGTCGCTTAAATGTACCAGAAAACTTGCCTTGCTCCTTCCATGATGCTGAGGAGCAGCAGGCTGCCCCATGCCATGCCCCCTTGCCAGGGAAGTCAGAAGCAACATCTTCCTACCAGATCCCTCGCTGTATGGTATAGCGTGTGAGACTTTTACCTTTTTGCACTGAAGAGACTTTATTTCTAAACTTGACTTTCTGAGAAACTCTCTCCACTGTAAGACATCGAAGTTGTACACAAAAGTGTGTTTTACACTCAATGCATTTTTGTTCCCCGTGGTGGCAAAAGAAGGTTGACATGGAAGCTCAGACACTGCCTTCTCACTGTTGGCATTCTCTCCGCTAATTTATATATTCTTACGCTCTGCTGTCATTTGCCTTGGTATGATTTAATGCATACTTGCCCCCCGGAGGAAAGACTTAAAGGTGAAGCTACAATATTTATTTAGTATGTGATTGGACGAGTCATGGCCAAACACTTTTCAAACAAGGCACGAGGAATGTAAAAGCACATCTCTACTGATGGTAAGAAAGATGATTACAAATTGTATATTGTTCTACATAGCTAGAAAATATGACTATGCATCTATAGGAAAGAGAAGCACTCCAAGGCCAGGTTGGAAACCATTCATTTTGCTAGGGCAATAGGTGTTGGCCATACCCCACTCCTCTCTCAGGTTGGATTAGGACTCCTGGAAAGAAAAAAACCTGAGGTTTCTATAGGAGAATGACTATTTCTCAGGAAAACACAAGTAAACAGTTTTGCATTAGAGCAATCTCACAATAAGCCAGCCTTTACTGGGGGTTACATGGTTTGCAACCTGGTTGTAGCCAGATCTGATCCAGAGCGTGATATGGCCAATGACTTGGAGCTGGGCCAGCTCAAGTCAGATCTGGTCCATATTTATTTTCCCTCAAAGATCAATGTTGTGTATTGCATGCGGTAGATGATTTTCTGCATCCTATTTTACAATACAGCAACCGATAATCAGTAATCTCCAACTTACCAGTGAGGTATGTTACATTTCTTCAATTTCTAAAGTATATGTCAGAAAGACGACTGTTAAAAACCCTAAAGCCTGTACAGCTGCTGGCAAAAACGTGACCTAGGAGGACATGGCAGGCACGGTTTTCACTTGTCATAGTAAAATGGTCACATTGTTTCCAATTGTTATTTGGCTATAAAAATGCTGCTATAAAACATCACGCTAGGCAATGCGGGCAGGGCTAAAGGTTATTTATTTGAACGCAGATAACATTTGGAGCGTTACGGGTCATTGCAGGAGATGGGTGAGACCAGTGGTTATGCAGCGTCTTGAGCCCTAGGACACTGGAGGGCCAGTCCAGCCACCCTGCCTGGAGCCCTGGAGCCCTTCTGCATCCCAAAATATCTGCCCATCGCACATCTGTGTACGAACCCCCCTTTTCCTGTTACCGTGTCCCCATTTTATAGATGTTTTTTCCCTAGGTAGGCTGCCATGCCAGGCCGGACAATGGCTGGTCACTACTTAGGCAGATTTAAACCAGTTTTGGGAGTGCTGGTTCCTGGTGCCTATCATCAGACAAATAGAATCATAGAATCATAGAATCGTTAAGGTTGGAAAAGACCTCTAAGGTCATCGAGTCCAACCGTCAACCCAACACCACCATGCCCACTAAACCATGTCCGTAAGCACCTCATCTACACATCTTTTAAATACCTCCAGGGTGGTGACTCAACCACTGCCTTGGGCAGCCTGTTCAAATGTTTAACCACTCTTTCAGTAAAGACATTTTTCCTCATGTCCAATCTAAACCTCCCCTGGTGCAACTTGAGGCCATTTCCTCTCGTCCTATCACTAGTTACTTGAATTTCCCTGGGAATTCCCTTAGGAATCGCTCCAGCGCTGCGGCACTATCACGCACCTGGGACTCAGACGAGGTGGAGAGCCCCAGCAGCCTGGGGAGGCAGCAGCTTCAGAAAAGCCTGTGTCCAGCAGTGCCCCGTGTCTACCACGGACAAGCTATCTGCATTTGTTTATTTAACTTTTACTCACTGGGGATTAAGAAGCCTTTAGTTTCTAGGAACAAGCCCTATTCAGGAAACACTTGCAGTAAGCTCTGCTTTGCATCAAAGGTGACTTCCCTATAGGTATTAAAAGTATTAATTTATTAAAGGTATTAATTTAGACTAGTTTTTCGTTGATTTATATATCTTTTATTCTGAGTGGGTCAAGTTTTGCTTTGTTCGAGGCTGTAGCGTGAACCTTTCCTTGCAGTGCTTCGTGATGACCTTGTCTCCCTTTTTCCTTTTTGCTGCTCAGCTATAAATTAAATTCAGAGAACATACATTTTTTTCAGAAATAAATTCTCTTTATTTTAAAATTCAGACACATGTGCTTTATACCAAAACAGACACCAAAAGAGACTTGGTATTCACCTCTGCTTTTAAGCAAAACTGTGGCTTTCAGGGCTACATAACCAGACATAGTGATTTTAATGAATCTTTACAACTTTATGTCTCCCTGCCGATACTCAAGATAGTTTTGCAGGCACTTCAGCGATCTTTCTGTCAATGGCCTCTCACAACAGAATCCAAGAAATTTCAGAGATTTCCAGGGGTTAAAAAAAAAAAAAAAGAGAAGGAAGAAGCAAAGATGGTGTCTTTACAGTGTCATGTTAAATATGTCCAACTCTCTACCAATTTTCTGCCATGAGCATTTCTTCCCTCTGGTCTCCACGCCACTTCCATTTCCAAGAGCTCTCCCGTTGCCACAGCACCGATTGCCCTCCTGAAGTTCCTCCATTGCCAGCCTCCGCTTTGTAATAAGACCTGTATGATTTTCAGAGATTCTTGAATAAGAAGAGTCTTTAGTAAGAGTTGTTAAGTCCTGATTTCACATGAACTCTGGTTTTTGGGCAAACGGTTCAATTATTTTTCCTAAGTCTTCCTGCAGCATATGTCATGCTTACAGTAGCCTTCTACTATCCACTTCTTTCTCTGCTACTGCGTGGTCCTTCTGGCAGCAAGTACAGATGGCTGGTGACAGCCTTCGTCAGAGACGGGTACCGTCACCTCCCAGTTGAGCAAGTCCGTGTATGTATTTGTTCTGCTGAGATTTGTGTTCAGGATGTCCTTAGAATCTGTCACCTTTCCATTAAAAAAAATACTGCTTCTTCACTGAGACGCCAGGAACCAAGGACTTAGATGACTTTCACTCTAATTTTCATTAACAATTCAATTTTAATTAATTTTCTTTAAAAAACAAGAAAAAAATCCCCAACCTGTAAAAATCAGTTCCAAATTCAGAACAACAAAAGCGTGAGGGTACATGATATTGGTTTGGACCGCAACCTAGTTACAAATTATTTGCAGAGGATTACTTCATTTAGGTTAGAACTTCAAATGATGCTGTAATCGGGGATCTGAGATTTTAATCTGTGTATCTCTCTGCTTAATACAAATCATACCCTTATCATGAGCCAGATTTGCTGCCCAAGACATTGATGCTAATTAAAAAATTTCAAAATAAACTCAAGTATTACTTTTTGTTACCTTCCTAAGTCAAATATTTTCAGCCTATAGTTTATGTGGAGGAGAATGGCACTTTCATTTTCCTTCCTCACCTACCTTGTTTTAAGGAAAGTTTTTCTCAGTTTTTTCCCTCATTTGTTTTATGTTTCTTTTTCAAAAAAACAATGCTTAATGTTAAATTGGAAATGTTGCATATTACTTGTAAGTATAGTGGACCACAAGACTGTAAAAATAACATCCCTGTGTAAATGAAACAAGGTAGGAAAAAAGTATGGAAAGAAAGACTGATATCTCTGAGATGAGATGTAATGGTGTTTGCGTCTGATTCTGACACAAAATATTTTAACTGGTGAAGCTGCAAAAATCAAGTGTGCTGTGGTGTTAAATGTTAGCACAAGTTAAATGTTAACACAAGTTAAATCCATTCTGATAATTGTCTAGGCCTCAGAAAATAAATTTTCATTGTGGGCTTTTCTTGAAAGCAAGAAAATAAAATTTCTTTAAACTTTGAGGGAAATTTATCCAAAAATCTGCCACGCTAGTGTGCCTAACTGCTGACTAAACAAATATCTTTGACATGTTTTTGCATCTGCTACCCTGCGTTAGTTACTGAAGGCTCCCTGTCCAAAGCGCTGGAGAACTGGGTCTTTGGAACTGAATCCACAGGGAACAGGATGCCCGTTCTCTTAAATTAGCCGATAAGAAATCACATATTCAGGTTACGTCTTCAGTCTTGCTTCTCCTCTGGGCTGAGGCTGTGCTTAGCAAAGATGGCTCTATATAGCTGGGTGCTATATCCTTCCTACTCTTGGAAGGATTTCCCAGGGAGGTGGAGAATGCGGGTTTGAATCCGCGCAAGCTGAGAAGGGAACTGTACACAGGTTTCCCTCCTCCTGCAAAAGAGCTCTGACTCTTGAGGTATGGAAGCCTAAAGGAGGAAGAGGCATGTAGGGAACCTTGCTGTTGAATAGCGGTTAGGCACTTTCAGGAATAGGAAGCATGTGACGAAGGCTTTCAGGACTGTCAGTCTGCATTTAGCTGCCTAAATCCCATTCAAGTCTCTTTTTGGGTATGATGTATCTTTCTCTTTGGGCTTCAGTCTTTCTGTATCTCCAAGAACAGTTACAGTGAGAGTATAAATTCCTCAGAGCCTGCAAAACACTGATCTACGATGATAACCTGGGCTGTCCAAGGGAACTCTTAATGGAATATGGCTGAGGGTCTGGTTCATGTCTTTCCTGGGGCTTACAGTAGCAACAGCATCACCTTAAATAGGTACAGTACTGAAAATATCCTTGAAAATGTAGAATGTAACTTGGGATGAGTTATTACTAGTACATTTCTCTTGAAGGCTTTGGGCAGTGCATGGAAAAAGCCAATAGCACTTTGCGAAAGGTAGTGGTGGTCAGAAGGTTTAGAGAGAAGGATGCATTGCTCACCTTTTCTGGCTGGACTAGAGCAACAAGTGAAACACAAGTCTACACAGGAGTCTGCTTTAATCCATCATTCTATTTTATGAAGCATCACACAACATTTTCACTAAATAGCATGTGATAGCAGTTTAAGTAAGGACCACAGGGTTATTTAAGGAAAAAGCCGACAACCTATTTCATAGTCACTGACTCCTCATTTGGCAGCAGTGCTCTTGGAGGACTTGGGTAGTACCCAGCAGTTGCTGAGCTATTTGAGGAAAATCGTGTAAATCTATAATCCAGTGGTAAATCTGAAAGACAGAAACGTACCACACCTGATTAGCAACACAGCCCCTATAACATAAAAATAAGCCTGTGGTGAATAGCAGTACTTCTTAAGCCCTTGAGCTGTTTGCTCACCAGCATTAGAACTCAATCAGATTGCGTGATTATATATTTATTTGACGTCTTCAGCTGTCCAAGGGATTGACTTTCAGAGTTTACTCAACTGCAGCAAAGGATATTCAGTTCCTTGATTGCTAAAAAAAATGCTAGTCATAGAAAATTATTAAACTAATGCTTAAAAATTAAACAAAAATCTTCACTGACCCTAGATGGAGTTTTCCCACTAGAACACTTTCAAGTACGCTCTTCGATTTGTCACCTTCCTCTTTTATCTCAGCAATTTACTCATAAAAGGGGTACGCTTAAAACAAAGAAGTCAGTTTCTTTTTTTTTTTGTGGCTATTACAGCAAGATTCCCCAAAGGCACTGGCTCTTAGACCTTCTTGTAGTCCAGTGTTAACAACATCATTTTGTACCAAGCATTCTTAGAAATCTGCACTTGTAACTTGGCGTACGCATCGCTTCCAGTCTGTAAAGAACACTGAATGCATTAAAATAGTTCTGAACAGTCAAAGCTTTCTTTTCTGTAGCTTTTTAAAAAAGTCTTTACTGCCAGCAGTGACCTGCCCACCCTCACAGCCAGAAAACTGATACTTCCCGTGCTCACCTCGTATTCAAAGTTCAAGAAACCAAATTAAAAAACACACAAATAAAATGTCATTCAGGAAACAAATACCCTTCCAATAAATGAAAAAAAAACAACCAACAAAAAAGGGTTAGCTCCTTCCCAAGTTGTCTGTTTAGAACCAATGCAAAACATAAAAACTATTACTCAGCTCATCGGAACAGTAAGTTATTAATGACAACTTTTTTTTTTAATTTGGAGTAAATTTGGGGTGATGATGTCCTGTCACTATATGCTACAATTTTTTTTTTTTTTTTTTTGTGCTCAGCAGCTTTTGTGAAACAGAAAACCACAATCTGAGCAGTTTTGGCACAAACAACAGGAAGTTCAGGTCTGTCTCACAAGCGATTCACAGGCAGGCACCAGGACAACATCCAGGTCCACAGCTGTAAAACCATATTAAACATAACTAAAGCGAATTAGTATTTAGATCCAGCTGAAAAATCAGATAGTGGCTGGAATAAAGTAGGAATGGGAGGAGGCTTGATTGGGAGTGAATTACGCTTTATGAAGTGGGTTACTTCAGCTTGTCAAAGAAGTACGTTTTCTCCTTTTGTCTGAGTCAGGGGAATCTCCGGAGCCCGTCCTGGGCACGGCAGAACAGGCAGACGTTTCTCTAGTCTGCGGAGGGCCCAATGGATTTACTGGCTGCTGAGTCTATTTGTGACAGCTCTGTTTAAAACAAAGGTTTCCAAAATAACAAATAATAATAAAAAAGAAAGCAAGTATTTATGAAAATCTTTATGAGCTATAAAAATTAAATGCCATACAGTTACTTTTATATAAAAGCTCCCACTAGCTTTTTAGTCTAGCAGTCTGGAGCGTCCCAAGAGTAGTTTAACCAAAGAGCAGCACAAATGAGGCAGACTTGCTGCAGAGTTGCTTATGCTGAAGAAAAGAACGAGTTGGATCAAAATGGTAATTATTTTGTTGATATTTCCTGGTAAACTAGCTTTACACAATCAGCTTAAACACCAAACCCATTCTATATACAATGTACAAGACTCCAAAAGAGAATAATGGCTTTTTTACTATTCAAACCCCAATCTATCCATTTAAATATTGCTTTTGTCTGAGCAAGCTGACTTTGGAAGATGATCAGAAGGTATCCATATGTAAGAATGTCGCCCAAGGCATCACTGAAAGTTGCATGAAGCAGATACTATTCTTCACCCATTAAGCAGATTTTATGTATCACAAACATAGTAAAAATCTTCCTCTATTTCCAGTTTTTTTTCATCAATGATTTCATTTCCTGCATCTGCTTTGCCTGGAATATGCAACATTTTATATTATTGCTTTATTTGTGTGATACATTTATGAGAAAGCTCTGGACTGATCCAGAAAGGCATACTTGGAATCTTAGTGGCTATGAATAAACATACGGTGAGGAAGAAGGGCAAGTATACAAAAAAAAATGAAGATTTTTTATTGGGGGAATGCAAAATTTATGAAAAAATGGAGATCCAGAAAATGTCATAGATGAAGATGGCTGTAAGTTCATTTAAACTAAGTGCTGCAAAAACTTTGCAACTTAAAATAAATCGCAGTTCCCCTGGATTGCAAAGGTATCGTGAATTGTACACCAAAACTCAATCCAACTTCTTTTGATGTAAGAGGCAACAGTACCGCTAGGTCCAGCAATACTGGCTCATCAACAAAGAACAATGATACAGGTCTGGAGTCTGCCTCCTGGACACAGCAGAAATTCATTTCATATCTGGTCTTATTCCATATTAGCACTGATGACACAGACAAGCTATAAGCAGCTCTGTCTCACTAAACTGAAATGCTTACACAGGCCACAGCTTGATGCAAAAGCATGCAAACATTAAGATACAGTATTTGATAATAAAGCAAGTCTCAGGAAAAAAAATAGTTGCTTATTTCCAAGTTGCTTGTTTTCCTAATGTTTTAGCCAGTAAATTTCTCCAGGTTCTGCTACTGTGCGTGCTCACAAGTGCTGCTGTCGTGGCAGACCTTTGCATCTTGGCACCCACTTCTCACCTAACCCTGATAGAGAGTCATAAATTAGGCAGGGGGCAGATACCCAGTCCTCTCTGAGATATAATTTGACAGTGAGGCTCTAATCAGTCCTAACCTACACTGATAATGAATTCAGCACAAGACTCATCCACTACGGCTACTCTCCTAAAAAAAACAACCACCCTGAACAAACTAAACAGCTTGAGGCTGGAAGAATGAACTAGCTGGCTCTACCCAATTGCTTGAGGACCACAGTCGCAGAAGTTTTCTATCATACTTAGGTAATTACACCCAGACTCATTTTGTTACCAAGACAAATTGGATATTAAATTTTAGAGCCAAAGGCTCCTATAAGTCAGACATGGAGGATCTCAAGGTCTATGTCCCTTTCTAGATCTACAGAAATGGCAGTTATTAGATGCATCCCCCTGAATTTCTGTCCCACTCCTTTCTTTGCTCCCACACCAGACCCTGAGTGCGAGTGATGAAAACCAGTTTCCTTTGCAGTGACCGTTCAGCGTTACTAGCGTTTCCCAATGGCTTGGGCAGCCCTCACGGGTTATATGCCTTAGCCTGAGTTCAGAAGCAGGACTCCTGCCCTGCCCCGCCTCGCTTGCAGGACTACAGCAGCCCCAGTGTAAATAAAATGGCAATGATGATGTTTGAGCAGTAACCTCTGTCAGTTACCGTGTTCCAGTTGCTGCGTTCCAGTTATCCAGATCCAGGTATTAAGTGACATTAATTAGAACATTGTGCTCTGATGCTTATGTATACCCATATCCATGCGTGTATTTGGGTGTTACGGATGGATTTATTTCATAGTTATTAAGCTGACGATATCTCAGTGTCTGCGTGCTGTTCAGTTAGCGTAAGCAAACTAAATGACAGCCACAAGCTTTTATCAGAAGAAAAACTGGAGTTCCAGCCACAAGGAAGGAAAAGGAAACCACAAGAAGAAGGGAGAACGTAATATTCTCAATGAGTGATCAGGAAAATATTTGAGTAACTGAATGGAAGACAATTATAATCTAATCCAGACACAGGCCTGCTTGATAAACGCAATACTCACATCTAATCCTTTTTTGAGATTTCCTTGAACAAACCAATACATTAAACAAATATAATCTTAACTAAGCTCTTTAGGTGGAAGGCATTTTCTTAAATGAAACGCACAGTCCAAGACTGAAACAGATTTCTCCCAAAATACACAGCAGAAACGTCAGGAATCATTTTGCAGTATTGACCAACAAAAGCAAAGCCAACATTTTTTAATCATGACACCACAGCAGCATCCCAGTGACGAGTGAGAAGCCCTACAGAAAGCAGAACTCCCCTCCCTGCTCTGAGGTCTGCTCCTTGCCAGTCAGCAGGGCTGGAGCCAGACGCTGCAGAAACCTCCTAGTAAACAGCAGGGTTGTGCTCTTAAGTGAATCCAAATATATCCTCCTCACTATCACCAAGGAAAAGGCACAGGGAGGAAAACTAAAACTTCATTAGCGAAACCCAAGTTTTGATTTGAAAAATCTTTAAACTGCTTAATTGTGGCAAATCTCAGAAAATACAGAGCTCTCTCTTACGGCTCAGCATCCAGGTGGTATAACTATAGGGGCAGATCGTCAGCCAGTATTAGTTCTTTTGCTTTTACAGGAATTCCAGTGATTTATGCTGGCTTAGAAGCTTTGCCATAAATCTTTCCTTGTATTTCAAAGTTGCTATTGAAGAAAAAGGAAAATATTAATTTCTTAATGGCAACAATTTCTAATAATATTTTCTTAACAGTGGAGTAAGCACAACTGCTGCAGGGGAGCTCACCAGTTTGGCTGCGCTGTCGAGTGACTTGACTTGCCAATCGGCAGGTAAACTATAACAGGTGTTGGTTTTTTTTAAATACTAAATGTTTTTATCTCCTGACCCATTTCTATTTTATAGCAGTCAAAGCAGCGCTTGCAGCAAGAGGTCAGAATGTGAAGGAGTGTACTAGTGGCAAAAAGAAAAAAACCCCAAGGTCACAAGTAGATTTATCTGATAGCAGTTATTTTTAGCAAAACTTCTAAGGCTGATTTTCCTAAACAGGAGGTCAGATGTTTGCTGTACTAAAACAAAGCTCACGAAATAGTGAAGTCAGCATGAGGAAAGCATTCCTTCTATCAGTTACATGAAAGTCATGGCTGCTGTCTGCATATGCTGCGACTCAAAAGAGGAGGAGGAGGAGGGAGGGTATCTGTGCGGTGTCGCATGGGAAAGGGGGGACTCTTCAGTACAGGTATGCTCTACAGAAGGAAGTTGCTAAAACTT